GAGCAGCCTGTGAGGGTTCTGATGAGAGGCCTGGACTCTTGGTTGCCGGGAAATCAGCCCCAGAGCCTTGGAGTAAGTGAGGGCAAGGGCCCAGGGAGAGTAGAGGGAACCAGAGTGGGGACGGAGTGAGGGGAGCAGGGCCTCTTCACTGCCTGAACGGGGAGTCCCAGCCAGTCACCTACCAAATGTGATACAGGCGACAATGGGGAGCATTGTTTATAGAGAATTTAAAAGCAATAATAAAACCAATTAAAAGCTGGTCTGCTTTTTATTGTCACCCCGGCCGGCTGGCTGTTGTAAGCAATGTCAGTGATAAAATACGTTTTTACGTTTTCCCTTTTCAGGGAGGTGGGGAAGAGGAACATTCCCTCTTTCTTTCATGCATGCCGTGGACCCTTTGCCCCTCCCCACTCAGCACTTAACTAGGGGGTTGGGGAGGGAAGGAGTCTGGGAAGGCCCTGAGAACAGGAGCACCCTAGCCTGTAGGGTCCTCTGAGAGGATAGCTAAGATGGGCCCCCAGGATGGGCCCAGATATTCTGGAGGAAGGAAGCGTGTCCTGTGGAGTGTGGGGTGGACAGGCTGCTAGGACGCTCACTGGAGGACTCTGAGTCCCGCTACGGTGCTGCCGCTGTCACCCAGGGGCTGCCCTCCGTGCCACGCGCAGGTTATAATCAATTGGCAAGCACATTGAATGACCAATTCCCAAGCCTGCTCCCCACCCAGCCCCACATTCTGTACTAAGGACGTGGAGATCAGGTTCTCCTCCCGACTCTCCAGCAAGAGCTGCCCTGCCCAGGCTCCACTAGGCCAAGACTTATCAGGCAATCTGTGCTCTGCCCTGTCCCTGGCCTGAGCACTGGCCCTCACAGTGACCACCTCTCTCTCCTCTGCAGGAACCAGGTCGAACCCACCAGTGATTCACGTAAGAGTCAAGGTCCTGTAACCACAGAACCAGACAAAGATCAAGGTCCCGTGGGCCCTGGGCCTCTGAAAGATCAAGGTCCTGTGATCCAAACGCCTTCAAAGGGTCAAGACCCCACAGTCCCAGAGCCTCTGAAGGATCAACCTCCTGTGGTCCCGGGGTCTCTGAAGGATCTAGGTCCCATAGTCCCTGCCTCAGTTAAGGATCAAGATCACGTGGTCCCTGAGCCTTTAAAGAAGGAAGGTTCTGTGATCTCAGCACCAGTCAAGGACCAAGATTCCTTGGCCCCAGTGCCTCTAGAGAATCAAAGTCCTATGGTTCCAGCAAGAGTTAAAGATCAAGGTTCCGTGGTACCAGAGCTTCTGAAGGATCAAGGCCCCGTGGCCCCAGCACCTGTCAAGGGTCAAGGCCCTGGGGTCCAAGCACCTGTCAAGAATCAAGGCCCCATGGCCCCTGAACCTGTGGGCAAAGGCCCCATGGGCCCAGCACTTGTCAAGGATCAAGGTCCTATGGTCCCAGAGCAACCGCAGGATCAAAGTGCCATGGTCACAGCACCTGTGAAGAATGAAGTTTCTGTGCTCTCTGAGTCTGGAAAGAATCAAGGTTCAGTGGTCCCAGAGCCAGTCACAGATCAAGGTGGAGGGGCCCCAGAGCTCCTAAAGGATCACGATGCTGTAATTGCAGAACCTGTAAAGAATCAAGGTCCGGAACTAGTCAAGGATCAAGGCCCCGTGGTCCCAGAGCCTGTGAAGAATCAAGTTCCTATACCCCCAGTGCCTCTGAAAGATCAAGGTCCTCTGGTGCCACCACCAGCAAAGGACCAAGGTCCTGTGGTCCCTGAGCCTCTGAAGATTCAAGGTCTCAGGAGCCCTCAGCTGCCCACTGTACCACCTCCACCCCCAGTCATGATCCCAACTGTCCCCTATGCAGAATATGTTGAGAGTTCTCCTTGACACTCACCCCTCGACATGCCAAAGAAGGAGCTAGCAATGAAAATGCTCCCTCTCAGGGGCGGCAAAGACACTTATTTAATCTGCATGAAACACGTATTGTATAGTCTTGCTGGAATCTAATAAAACTTGTCCCTCGGCTCAGCAGTGTCTCTCTCCCTGCCTGGCTTCATTTGAGTGTGTGTGTGTGTGTGTGTGTGTGTGTGTGTGCGCCATGCACATTTGAGGGTGGGCATTCAGGGCTCTGCAGTCATCCAACCGGGCCATCTGAGAAATTCCCAGCTCCTGTGAGCTGTCGGTATGAGATGGGAGTGGGTGGGAGTTGCTTGGAGACGGAGGACAGGACCCCATCGTGAGGGTATGGGCGGGACACACATGTGTTTCCCTTTTACTCTCACTGTGATCACACTTCACTTCTGACACCAGAGGTGGTTGGGGGGGGTGGGGGTGGAGGAGGTCCCTCACATCAAGCAATTATCTAACACCAACTGGGGGGCCCTACATTGAAATCAATTCTGACGCTATCTACCTAGAGACAGCGTCAGCTCCCACAGGTGAAGGGCTCAGTCCCACAGGACTGTCCCCCCGCACCCCCCCCCAACTTCAGATGCCAATTGCAAGTCCCAGGCTATCGCCTGTACTTCTGACTGACTTGCTATAAATCAGCATTCCCACAACCCCCTGCTTGGGTTCAATAATTTGCCAGAATGGCTCACAGAACTCTGGGAAACACGTACTTATGTTTACTGATTTATCCTCAAAGGATAAAGAATACATCCAGATGGAAGAGAAGCATAGGGGAAGGGCACGGAGCCACCCTGCCCTTGCCAAGCACACCACCCTGCCAGTGCCCCCAGCAACCCAGAAGCTCTCCGAACCTCAGACTCTGGGGATTTTTATGAAGGTTTCATCATGCTGGCATAATCAATGATTAACTCAATCTCCAGCCCCTCTCCCCTTCCCAGAGGATGGAAGGTGGGGCTGAAAATTCCAAGCTTCTAATCGTGACTTGGTCTTTCTGCAGAGGAACCTGCAGAGGAAACAGGAGCAGGGACCCAGGTGCCCAGGATAACCCTGGATGACAGTTGTTTGCCAAGGGCTCAGTCCTAAAGGTCCTCCAGGGGTCACGCTTCTTGAGTAAACCAGGCCTCTGATCAGAAGGGTCCCGGGACACTCATGAGGGCAGAACCTAACATTTGCTGGTCCTCATTCAGTATCCAGGACAGCTCAGCCAGGGCTTTTAAAACAACGCCTGAAGCCCCCCACTCATTCATGCCTGCAGTTGACTTGTCCTCAGCCCTCACTTTGTGCCTCGCTCAGTGCTGGGCATGAGGTCACTGTGGTACAGAAGTTCCAGTCTTATGACAATAAAAGGTGGCGTGGGATGAGGCCCTAGGACAACTAAAGGCCTGGCTTTGAGAGGACAGTGAAGAGAGAAAATCTAGTAGGGGCATCCAGGAAACCTTCTCAGAGAAAGTGGCTATGAAGTAGAGACAGCCCAGGCAGCAGGGGTAGGAAGGGGTATCATGGATGTGGCTGGGAGGGCCAGGGTAAGCCCCCTCTGGAAGTCCTTGAATCAAAGAAACCTGATTTTCCTGAGGGCCTGACCACAGGGTGTAGCAGGCCTCTGGGGCAGACAACGGAGACCAGGGAGGGGTGACCAATTTTCTGAACCCCAGGACCTCAGGGAGGGAGTCAGGGAGCCAGTCCTGTAGGCTGTGAGCGTGTTACTGGGAAGAAGGCTGGGGGCTAAGGCTCAGCCTTGCTCAGAGATGGGTCCTGCTAGGATCCCACTGGTGTGGGTCACAGTAGCCTCCCCTTTAAAACCCAGAGCCCTCAGGGGCCTGGGGGTGTGGGGAGAGCTCCACCTGTAGACCCCACCAAAGCTGGCTCCCAAGGAACACTCCTACCCCTTTAAGACCTTTGAGACCCATTATGAACACTAACGCCTTTTAAAGGTCTCTTTTTTAAGAAGCTCAGCTTGGTTCTAACAGAGAAATCACAGGAAGTACTGATGACTTCCAAATGGTGAAGTTTTCTGAGCAACAGGCCCCAGTCCCGCCTCCTCACCCCACTCCCAACAGCACCAGTGTTTTCTGCCCCACAAGCCACCTCTATAAACACACACACACACACACACACACACACACACACACCATGAGGATTCTTCCTGGCTCACCCAGCACAGAGTTTGCTGCCATATAAATTCTAATAGGGCCCTGCAGATAAGAAAAGACCACGCTGAGGCTAAAGAAGTATTGTGTACGGACACCGCGCCCCTCCTTTCAGTTCTCCCTCTGACCCACACACCTGGTCCCGTGGCACACACATTCCCACGGGCCACATAGATGGTGCTCTCTCTGTGATGGGCAACATCCAGGGGCAAATGTCCAGAAAGCCACTGGCTACCAGGGCTCCGCCTCTGAAGAGACAGCTGCCTGGAAACAATGTGTGGGGGTCAGCCCCACATGGGGAGGCTGAGCTCCCTCAGGGACACTGTCAGAATGGAAAGAGAAGTGGGCCCAGCCCAAGGCTCTGATGACTTTTTAAAGGTAGGAAGAGAAGGGCACAAAGGAGGCTGAGGAAGGTCTCGCCCAAAGCTGTAAGGAGAGACCAGGGCCTGCGGTGCCAGGAGTGATTCAATAAGGAGAGCGATGCCCAGGGTCCAAAGCTGAGGGAGAGAGTGCAGATGACCGAGAGGCGGCAGTGGCGGAAGCAGGTCGGCCTCCAGCCCAGCGCCAGCCACCTCAATTTCCTCCTGATGATAAAGTGGCTCTGATGATAAGAGGTGATACTGAGGCAGAAATCCTCCAGATCAGGATTGAGCTGCAGGCCACCGCCTCACCTGCATCACGCCCAGCTCTCTACTGCATTGGAAGAAGGCCCAGTGACGGAGGTGGTCGGCTCAGGCCCCCGCCCTGGGCTGGGGCGGCGAAAGGCGGGAAATGAACTAGATGCTCTTGGCCCTTCTCAGATGCAGACTTCATCCTAAGCCTGGTTCTTCCCAGCTGCAGCCATTTCCCAGCCCTTCCCCAGCACGCGCCGTCTCCACCCCTCTCAATCCCGCCCCTCGGCGGCCTGGCGAATCCAGATAAAGGACCCCGGCGGGCCGCGGCCAGTAACCCCACCCAGACGCGGCTGCCTGAGGGAGGGAGGAGAGGGCGGCGCCCCTTCCCCGCGGAGCGGCCTCGGAAGCGCGCCGGCATCCGAAACTCGGATCCCGAAGATGCCCAGGCTCCGCCCAAGAGCCCTTAACCAGGCTCCCGGCTCTGAATCTGACAGCTGGGGATCCGACATACCCCCCGGGCGGGCGGCGCTGAGCCCCAGTCCCCAGCCGCGGCCGTCCTCGCACGCGCACGCCGTCTTGCCCGTGCGGCCAGGTCAGTTTCCCCGTCTGGGCTCCGGGCCCAGTTGCCGGAGCTTCTCGGCGCGGGGTCGGGCCAGGGCCTGGGAGCGGGCTGTCTAGAGAAGCCTGGGGACCCGCGGGCGAGCGCCCCCCGAAGGCGGGTCTGGGGGGCCCTCTTGGAGCTGGGCTGAGGCCTCGCTGGAGCCCCTTGTGGCGGATCCAAGGAAAGACTGCGATTTTACTCCTCTCGCACTGTGATCCCCGCCCTGAACACCTGCCGGGGACACCCCCCCGCACTGCCTGGGCACCTTTTGGCATTTTTGTGTAGTGAGGAGGCGGTGCGTGCGGATTCAGGGTAGACCATGGGGCCAAATCGTACTGCAGCGGCACCTTCCGTAGTCTTTGTCTTTGTCGCGGCGAGGATGGATCACCTAGAGGAAGGGGATGGGGAATGCACGCCATTCTCAGTCCGAAACCTGGAAATATTTTTTTGCACCAATTACCAGCCCTCCACTTCCAATCCGTCACTAAGACCTGCGCCCTCTACCAGCTAAATAAATGGTGAATCTGCCTTCTTTTCTCTATCTCTATGGCCCCCTCTTACGTCACATATATCACAGTTTGTAATTCTGTATGTGAATTACATGATGGCACTCAGGGTGTAAGAAATGAGGCATTTCTTTATTCTGATAAATCAAATTAAATCAAGTTGGAGCCCCTCCTCTCACTGGAGGGCAGGAACTCTAATATTAGTCATTTTCCTAGAGCCTCACCCTGTCCCTAGGTCCAGGAGGCTTAGGCCATCCTGAGAAGACACATAGGTTGTCACTATGGCTGCCCCAGCCCAGCCAGAGGGGCACTGGCAGCCCCACACCCACTGCACCATGTTTGGCTGCGGAGCTCCCAAAGCCTGCCCAGGTTGTGTGGTGTTAATGCCATTCCCCAGATACTCCTGTAGCCATCCACATCTGAGCCCATCCCTCAGAGGCCCCATAATCCAGACCCCCCAGCTCCCTGCCCTTTCTACACACCCCCATTCCCAAGTCAGGCCAGTCTACCCCCTCATCCATCAAAGCACCTACACTTTTCCCCCCTCTCCATCTCAGCCCATCCAGTTTAACATCCTCTGTGAGCTTAGACCTGATTCTTGGGGGGGCAAGGGCTGCACCATCTTATATTCTCACCAGCAACATATGAAACGTTCTAGTTTCTCCACATTCTTGTCAACACTTGGTCTTGTCCATCATTTTTATTATAGCAGTGATTTCTTTGTCTATTACAGAATCTTCCATTCTTGCCTACACACCCAACAGATATGTAATAACTATGTGTTGAGTGGATGAATAGGAAAACAGGAAACGGAAGGTTTGGGCAGGAGGATGAACTCAGTTTGGTTCTTACTAGTTACTCCATAAATCAGAGCGGAACACCAAAATGTGACATACATTGCCACCAAAATACACAGAAGCCCAACGAGTGTGCTTCTTTCTTACTGCTAGGGACAGAAAACAGCAAATCCCTTTCACTTTTCAGGATGTGACAATTTTATGTGTCAACTTGACTGGGCCATTGGGTGCCAAGATATTTGGTCAAACATTATTCTGGGTGTGTTTGTAAGGAATGAGATTAACATTGGATCTGTAGACTGAGTGAAGCAGATTGGCCTCCCCAGTGTGGGTGGGCCTCATCTAATTTGTTGAAATAGAATAAAAGGCTGAGTAAGGGAGAATTTGCTCTCTGCCTGGCTGTCTTCAAGCTAGGACATTGGTCTTCCCCTGCCTTCAGGCTAGAACTAAACACCATCAGCTCTCCTGCTTTTCAGAACTTCAAACTTGGACTGGAACTATACCACTGGCTCTCCTAGGTCTCCAGCTTACAAACAGAAGATCACAAGACTTCTCAGCCTCCGTAATCCTGTGAGTCAATTCCTTATAATACATCTCTTTGTATCTATCTCTATATACACATATCTATAGCTGTATCTTCTATTGATTCTGTTTCTCTGGAGAACCCTGACTAATATATGTTTCCTGGCACGATCCAGACCACTGAACACCCAGAAACTTCACTCAGGGGGCAGGGCCCTATGTTCTTATGGGATTCATCTCCCATTCTCAGCACATTTGTATCTTATCAATGCATCTAAAGTACCTGCTACTTTCCACTCTCTGAATCCTAGGAACATGATGTAATCAGTGTAGCAGACAAGTATGATGTTGTGTGTTATGGGAGGATGGTCAAAATCCCCACAGGTTACATTGTAACAGAGAATCAGAGACTTGGGGAGTTTCAAGACAAGATGAGAAAGCTGTATTGCTGTCCCTGCCAAGAAAAAGAAAGCTGCTTCTGGTATTTTCCACAGAGGAAGTTTAAAAAAAAATTCTTTTTCAGATAAATAGTTTCACATTAAGTAACAAAATATATGTGTATTTGCTCCCATAAAAAGACCATACCTAGAATAGTAGCTGCTGGAATCATCTGAGTAAGCTTATGATAATTCGCTGCCATTCTCCAAGACCTGTGCCTTCTGCACAGACCCAAGAAGTAAATTAAGTGGGATGTAATAGAAACCAGCCTGCATCTCTCAAGTTTTGATGAGGGCACAAATTTCTGTGATTCTCCCAGATCTGTACCAGTTTATTGATTGGTAAGAAGAAAAAGTTCCAGAAGCTTCCACGTGGCCCTTTCTACCATAATGGCCCTTATTCCACAGGTCTAGAGGCTCATGTGTGCTGTAAATTTCAATTATACACCCTAAAACTAAAAATACAATTGCAGGATGAGTCCAGGCACCATGCCTGGACTTGAGTCAAGGTCCAGTTGTCACCTGATGCACCTGAGCCTCTACACAGTGGCTTTCTATGTCCTCAGGAATTAGCATTAGATAAGCCCAAGGTCTGCTAATCCCTGAAAAGCCTGTGTATTTTCTTTTCACAGAGCACAGTTCTCTGGCAAATGGCCTAGGGCCCTTTGTGGAAGGTAGGTACACCCCAGTATGTATCTGGGGTGCTATTGAAGGGGCCGCTCTGAAGGGTACTGACCTCTCTTCCATTCAAGGGGCTTTGGGTGAGGGACCAACGTTCTCTTTCAGAGTGGGTCAAATCAGGCTTCTGCTACCAGGCCTGGAGGGTTTTGTTTGTTGTTTTGCTTTGTTGTTTCTGTTATACATTAAGGAGGACTTAGAGGCTGCCTATCCATTTGGTCCCTTTGGTCCTATTTGGCCCTTAAACAATTAGTCTTTGCTAAAGACATCTGTGGGTTAGACCATTCTGAGTACCACTTGGCATCTGACGTCCCAGATGGCCAAGTGCTGCTGTCTGTGCTCTGCTCCCCTGGGATCCCATCATTTCCACTAAAATCATGGAGCCCATTTCTGTGGCAGTGTCTTTCACTAGTATCCCTAGCCTGCAGAGAACAAGTACTGCATCACGTTTCAGAGATGCTCCCCTCACTAACATGTTTCTTCATGCCTTGGCGAAGGGAATTTCCTCCAGGCTCTATAAGAGGAAGTCGGGAGTGTGGAACTTGGCTTGGGAGTATGTGAGTGGGTCACACAGGGTAAATCCACATCAACATTGCTCCCTGCCTTAGCACTGGATTCCTTCCTCTATGATAAAGCAAGGAATTCTGGCATTTCAATATCAACTAAGCATAGGCCTCAGTTGAATCCAGGTTTCAGTCAACCAGCTAAGCAAACAGTGAAAACCACTCCTAGGTGCTCAAACTGGCACACTGACTCTGGAATCTTAGGTAAATGTACGCATATTAATAAATCCAGCCCAGTGAAAACTGTGTTCCTGCCTCCATGCACTAGCACCCACAGAAAACATTCCCGCATATATCATCCAGACTTCTTGGTGATATAAATTAGCAAAATCTTGCAATTCTTCTGATGTGGCTGCTTCCTCCTCCCCCATCTGACTCTGGAACTAGTCTTCTGAGACAGGAAAGTGTCTAATCCCAGTTATGGGACTGGAGACAATGGGATTGGTGCGTGAAGAGACTTGGCCTCCCCCTGTGGGGTAGATTGAAATCACGCCCATGATATTTCGCTGCTCTTTCCATCCAGACGTGAAGTCTCTTTTTCACCCCTCGAATCCAGGCTGGCCTCGTGACTTGCTTTGACCAACAGGATGTGATGGAAGCGACATGTTATAAGCTGCAGAGCCCAGGCCTCAGAGGCTTAGCTCCCGCCTTTATCCTCTCAGAATCCTGAGGCCACCACGGTGCCAGGAAGAAGACGGGGATGCAGGCACACATAAGAGAGAGGCTCAGCGCCCAGCCATCCCAGCTGAGCCCAGCGTCCAGTGGATACAGTCACCCGAGCGAACCCAGACAAGACCAGTAGAAGGACTGCTCAGCCACCCCGCAGAACTGGGAAAAAGAGTGAATTGTCATTTTAAGCCACTAAGTGTGGAGTGGCTTGTTTCTCTGCAATAAACAACTAGAACACTTTGCAGGGTAACTTCCAAGACAAGGTCACTTCAAGGTCTTCAGGCAAGGCAGCTGGTGCTGCACGGGGATTTACTGGAGCTAGGGGAGCTCTAAATCGTCCAAATCCTGCCATATGGCCTCTAATTCCCTCCCTGAGATCAGTGCCCTAAATTTCACCTGAGATCTAGCAGCACTGGGAATTCAGCTGACAAACTGACAATGTAATTTGTTGACGGCAGCATCAAACTCCTGTCTTGGTAAGTTATATAACACAGCTTAGCTCTCCCCTCCTGTTGGGCCTCCTCTCGGCTCCCCTGTTGAGTTTGTCATCTCTGGTTTACACCAAGACAGAGGAATGACATGAAAAACAAAAGGAAGTCTGAGAGCTGGCCGCTTCTCAGTAGGTGTGTTTGAAGTGTCAGAACACTTTCTACTTCTTGCTGGGACAGCCAGGTGGATCAGCTCATGCCTGGACATGTGGACTCCGTGCTCCCCCCACAAATGAAACCCTGGCGGTAGGCACGTAGGGGAGCTGAGCAGACATGTCCATGTCACAGAGAGAGAGGAAGAAAGGTGACAGCAAGAGGTATTGAAGGACCAAGTCCCCCAGAGAGCACCTGCAGGGAAAATGTGGTGCGTGCGCCCAGAGATGCTTCCCCAGAGCTCTGGGAGCACAGAGGCAGCTGCGCTTCTGACAGGGGCCCAGGAAGGGTCTCTGGAGAGTCGGTAACCTTTGAGATAGGCTTTGAAGGATGAGGAGGGCTCCACTGGCAGAGGTAGGGGGAGGCATGATACCAGCAGAAGAGGCCACATGAGCAAAAGGAAAGGGAGGAAAGTCCAGGGGAGGGGATAAGTCAAGCGGGGGCTGTGGGAAAAGGAGGGAAATTGGAGGGGTGAGAGTGGCAAAACCAACTGCTCTGCTCCTGCAGAAGCGTTCACTGACCTCGGGGCCTCCCCGTCAGCCGCCTCCTCCCAGCCCCTCTCAGAGCAGTTCAGCCCAGCACCTGGCAGCCAGGCCTCCCTCTATCTCACCCCCACCTCCCCTGGGCCCCTCGCTGTGTCCCAAGCTCCCATGGCCCTTCCAGCGGCCGCACCTCTGTTCACGCTGGGCCTCTCTTCCAGAATGCCTCTTCCCCTCTTTCCTACCAACCTCTAGCACCTCTTCTTCCAGGAAGTCTTCCCTGACCACTTCAGCTCTGCCTGACCCCCAGGTTGTATGGCATGATGGAAAGAATCAGCCTTTAAAGTTGTGGAGATCTGGGTTCAAATCCCAGCTCTGCAGTATGATCTTGATTTACCTTCTCTTATTAATAGTTAATATTTCTCGGCCACATATTATTTGCCAGGTACCATGGGTTACCTCATTTCGTTCTCACCACAGCTCTATGAGGTACTTACTATTATCATTCCCATCTTACTAGTGAGGAAACTGAAGCTCAGGGAGGTTAAGTATCTGGCCCAAGGCCACACAGCTAGGAGTGGCAGAACTGGGCTTCCAGTCTGGTCTGCCAGGCTCCAATGCCTCTGTTGCTAAGCACCAGAGCACCCACTGGACCACTTCCTTTGAATGAGCATTCATTAGACACCTCCTATGTGCCAGGCGTTGTGCTGGGTTTGGGGATGTGGCCAGGGCGTGGGTAGACAAGGGCTACTCTCAAGGTGGCTTTAGCTGCGGGGACTGGAGTAAAGATTATATGGAATCCCATTGGTTACTGACCGCCTCCTGTAAACCGTGGAGCATGGAGCTCACGCATATCGACCACCTCTCCTCCACAGCCAGCTGACCTGCGCTCCCATACGTGCCAGGCTCCGTCACTGACCTGCCAGGTGGCCTTGGGTTGGTCACGTTATTCTCTAAACCCCAGTTTTCTCTTCTATAACTTGGGATGGTAATAGCTACCCCTGAGGGAAGCTCTAAGAATTAAGAGCTTTCCTCATGTGTACCCGGCAGTGTAGGGCACATAGTCGGTGCTCAGTAAAAGTTAATCCCCATCTCCCCACACTTGCACTCACATCCAAGACCCACACAGTGCAGCAGGGTCATCATCTTTCTGAGACTTTTAACAAGGAGGTCCCTTCAGTGGCCTCCAGGTGGCAAGAAAGCTCCACACAGAGCTGTGATGGGCCATCAAGGGTGCCGACGTGGCTGGTCCAGCCCCAGCCCAACCTTGACCTCCACCACCTGCCCTGCCACCCTTCACACCAGCAACCCCACCCCTCACTGTGAGGTGGGAGCACAGACCTCCCACCACCCTCCCGCCTGTGCCCGGATGGAGGCAGGTAGCCTCAGGGCACCCTTTGTGTCATCTGGGCAGCCCCACACTCAGCCCTGCCTTCCTTCACTGCCCATGCCCACCTGGTGGGGAAGCTGTTGCAGGCTGAGCGTTGAGTCCAGGAGTCCCAGCTTCTAGTCCAGTCTCCCCATCTCTGAACTATACCTGTGTGAGTAGGAAGACTTCCCACCTAACTGGGCTCTTGTGGGGACTAAGTTGGACAACGTATACAGACTGAGGTTATGCACCTTTCCTGTTAAAATCTGGCCAGTTCCTCTCCTGCCCTTTCTGTGTGTCACGGAGGAAGAACAACTCTCCAGCTGGCTAGGAGCATTTCCCAGCTCAGCCCCACTGGCTGTGGAGCCTCAGGCAGGTCACTTAACCTCTCGCAGCCTCGGTTATCTCACCTGTAAAATGGGAATAATCCCTACCTAGCCAAGCCGTTAGGAGGCTGGGATAAAATTTATATATATCAAGTGACCAACATGGTGTTCGGCACATAGTAGAAGCAAAATACAAAGGAAGGACCAGCTGGTATTATTAAAATCATTTTTCTGATCAAGAAATGCCTACTTACCCTTCAAGGCAGCCTACATGTCACTTCCTCCTGGGAGTCTTCCTTGATCTCCCCATGGCAGTCATGGCACCCACCCATAGCACCCTTCTGGATTCCCGAAGCCCTGGTGCCCTTCTAACACAGCTCTTTCACTTACTAAAATGTTTTGAGTGCCTTATGTGTGTATGACACTGAATTTGAGCGCAGGACATACAGTGATGAACAAGACATGGGCGCAGTGGTTAAGAATCTGCCTGCCAACTCAGGGGACGTGGGTTCGATCCCTGGTCCGGGAAGATCCCACATGCCGCGGGGCAACTAAGCCCACGTGCCACAATTACTGAGCCTGCGCTCTAGAGCCTGTGACCTACAACTACTGAGCCCACATCCCACAACTACTGAAGCCCGCGCACCTAGAGCCCGTGCTCCGCAACAAGAGAAGCCACCGCAATGAGAAGCCCGTGCACTGCAAAGAAGAGTAGCCCCCGCTCGTCGCAACTAGAGAAAGCCCGCATGCAGCCAAAAATAAATAAATAAAATTTTTTTAAAAAGTCATCGTCCCTATTCTCGTGGAGCTTCCATTCTAGTAGTGGGGACAGACCAAATGTGTCAATAGGTGGATAATTTAGGAGCCCTGAGTCAGTAAAACAAGAAAACATAGTAAAGAAACTGATGTTGTGGAGGAGCTGCTTATACTAGGTGGTTAGGGAAGGCCCTTGTGGAGTAGATGACATTTAGGCCGAGTGCTGGACGACAAAAAAGCAGGCTTGCAAAGATCTAGAAGAACCACTTGCCAGAAAGAACAGCTAGTGCAAAGGCCCTGAGGCAGGAGAGTAAGTGTGGCATGTCTGGGAACAGAATGATCCAGGGGACTGGAACACGGTGTGTACTGAGCATACTTGTCACTGTCCCTACGTCTCCACTTCTAGATGAAGCCTCCTGAGGGCAGAGATCTAATTTATTGGGTTCACAGCATAGAACAGACCTGGAGTTCTAAACAGTTGTGTTGCATTATGGTAATAATGGGAGTGAATCAGCTGGCCCTTCTGCAGCCCCATTCACATCTTGGAGGACTCCAACTAGGTTGCCCAGCCAGGCAGGGATTCCCTCCTCGGACCAACAACCCCCAGGGCAGAGTTGTTGGCAAACAGAAGCTGGAGAGGTGCCCAGAGAGAGGTAGTGACCTTCCCAAAGTCACACAGCCAGCAAACGGCAGAGATGGGACATGAATCCAGTTTCCTCTGTTCCTCTGCCTCCCTGGCCACTGGTCTTCTGTCCTGTGCATCCCACTTGCCCTCTCCCTCCCTGAGCTGTGATGTCAGGAGCCCCAAGGACCATGAAAAGTAACCAGTGTGAGGACTGTTATCAGGTCCCTCATCTCCTGCTGCAAACCCAGACACAGAGCAAGGTTCCCACAAGCTCCTTCTTCACAAAGTCCTGCCCAGCTGGGCAGCCTGAGCTTGTGCCCTCTGGCCCTGGATGTGGATGAGGTCAGCTTTAAGTGAAAGCCTAGGGGGCTGAAGACTGGGACCCTGGGGCCCTGCACAGCAGGACAGCAGAGTCTGGGCTCCAGGTCCAGCACTGTCACTCCGGCCCTGCAGCCACCATCTCTCCAGGGTAGCCCGAGCCAAAACAATTTCCAATTCAGCACATAGTGGGCCTGCCACATGGTATCATCTGCCAGGATTTTAGGGCCTGACAAGGGCTATTAGTAGCAAACGTGGCTTAACAGAAGGAGCCCTTTTCCCCGGGGAAGAATGAGATGGGAATCTCTGATCCAATCTCCTTCCATGCTCTGACAAAATTTCACTGGAAAATTTTATTGAAAAAAAACAATTGTACAAATAAGATCTTTGTTTGACAGCAACAAAGGCTCATTTCCCCCCTTTCCTCCCCATCTTTGAAAATCTATAAAAGGGAAAAAAAAATGTTCATCCCCATGATGCCTGACTGGAGTCTGCCCAAGAGCTCCCCCTGCCCCCCCATAAGCTATACCCGACCCCCTCACTGGGGTCAGACCCATGGAGGGGGCAGGGGCAGGGGGCAGGTACATGTCCCAGGGGCTGCAGCACCTAGTTTTATAGTTGAGGGAAGTTAGAAGATTGGGAGGGAGCCGGGGAGGGGCTGAGGTGGTGGTGGTATCAGGAAGAGGGCCCCCATTCCATGAGGGCTTGGCTAAATCCCCAGCTCGATTCTGTCTCACAGATGAGAAAGCACACAGCTATAAATATGAACACTGACCGAGGCAGCCTGGATCCCAGGGCTGAGAGCAGGGCTCCACGACTACTGCCCAGCTCCCACAGGATGTGGGGTCTCTGGGCTCAGCATCCTGACATCTGGGGGCCTGTGTCCAGGCAGAGTGAATCCTGGCTGGGAAGGTCTGCTCAGACACAGCCAGCCCCCCTGTTTTCCCACCCCCACCCCATGGACCATCCAAGGTTAGTACCTCAGCTCCCCACCCCCATAGCACCCATGTGTCTCAGGAGCCTCCCGCTGCCCCGTGCCATCCCACACCCACCCTGGGGCCCTACAACTCGTCTCGCATCTTGTCACCCTTGGGCCGGACCAGGCGCCCGATGAACAGCAGGGAGCCGCTCTGGGTGTCTCGAACCAGGAAGATGAAGGGGTGGTCGGCGTAGAAGAGCTTGGGGCTGCGCAGCTCCTCACGCCCATAGATGTCCTGGTCGAAGGGGTTGCCGTCTGTGTCCCACTCGAAGGCGGTGGCGTGGAACACACTGGCCAGGTACAGGTCCTTCTTGCCGGACATGCGAGACAGGTCTGCCTTGTTCTTGTCGATGGCCTCAGTCAGACCCAGCCCAGCCAGGTGTTTCTGCAGGACCAGGTGAGTGCCGGTGAGGCCACGGTGGGTAAGGCTCCTAGACCCTCACCCTCCACCCACACCGCCTGCCGTCTCCTCCCGTCTCTTCCCTCAGAGCAGAGATGACCACTCCCTGCCACCTTCTGTGTGCCAGACATGGCGTGGGCACTGCCAAGCACTGCTTTCCTAATTCTCATGAAAACCCTGCAACAGCTTCCAATCACCACGTCACAGATGAGGAAACTAAGGCCCAGGGGGAAAAGGCAGAATCTATGCCTGGCCCCGCCGAGCCACCTTGACCTGTGCTTCTCAGACTGTGGGTGGTGGGTCGCCAGCATCAGCGTGACCCAGGGGCTTACACGAAGCGCACATTCCCTGGCTCCAGCCCAGAGCCACGGAATCACAATCTCTGGGGGTGGGCTGGGAACCTTTTGAACCAACTCTCCAGGTAATTCTTGACACACTCATTTGAGAAAGACTTATCCTAAGGACAGCTATGACCACATCACTCTGGGGCTTAAAACCTTTCCAGAGTGATATGATATCTGGGATTTGCTTCAAAATAATCTGATGGGTGAGGAATGGGTGTGTATAAATGAATCCTTATTGGTCATGAGCTGATGATGGTTGATGTTGGGTGACGGATACATGAGGGTTCCTGATACTAATCTCTCTTTAATATATCTTTATACATTTCCATAGTAAAAAGTCAAAACGCACACACACACACACACACACTCTTCTAAGGCTCCGCACCCTGGAAGCCAAGGACAAGCTCTTTCCTGTGACCTGTGCTTGCACTGCAGCCTTAACCCTCAGTATGTCCCACTCCGCTCTCCACTCAACAGCCTCCCTGAAACTGCATCCTCGATGGCATCTCAGTGGCTACCCTGTCTCTGTAGGTCCCTTTAGACTCCACGTCTTCCGGGAAGGCTTCCCTATCCCACAAGACTGGAGCTGCGCCTCTCTGAGCCTCAGCACCCCTGGCCTCCCTCTGGCTATCAGTGTGTGGTCCTGTCTGTCTCTCCCACCTGGCTCAGAGCTCCCTCAATGCAGGGCCCATATTCAGGGCTCTCCCTGGCTCTCAGTGCAGAAGAGGTGGCAGTAAAGGACTGTCGGCTGAGTGAACAGCAGCCTTCAGGGCCCAGGCTTCTGCGGGACAGTGCACTTCCCCAGCATGGCCAAACGGGCATGAGACCTAGGGATCTGAGAGTCAGGGTGTCCTGAGACAGGCATTCTAGGCCCAGCTATTCCAGTCCCCTTGACTTTGCACAAATCACCCTCTTGGAATTTCCCAACTCAATCTATTGCAGGATAGCGGGTAGTGTGTCCAACCAGGGTGCCAGGAAAACACGGGAGAAAGAAGGGGAGTCAGATGACAGCAACTGCAGGAGAAAGGGCTGGGGTAGAGTCGGGACAAGCGCAAGAGGGAGACAGGTGGTTCCTCTGGAAACCCTCAGTGCCGTCTACAGTACAGACCACACAAGTTCCACTAGTCTCCAGTTTGGAGCCTAAGCCCCATCTCATCTCAAGCTTTCTCTCTCCACGCTCTCTCAGCAACAAGTCTGAAACAATTCTGTAGGTGAGAGACCTGCCAAGGAATCATTTCTGGAATCCAAGGAAGGAATGAGATGAACGTTTTCCCTTTCGAGTAGAGGAAAAAATCTTTCTCTCTTGATTGACAAAAAGGCCACCCTGAGTTTTCACCTTGAGAACTAACTACAGCTCCACTGCTTACTAGCCAGGGTGACCTTAGCGAGTCACTGCTTCTCTCTGAGCCGCTGCCCACCACCCAGGGTGGTCATGAGGGAGAAATGATGTTGAGCGGGTTTGGTTAAGTTTCCAGCCAAGTGACTCAGAGCTGAAAGCCATTATTAGTCTTATTACTGCATGGGGGACAGTCCTCCAGCTTGAACAGTCTATACACGCATACCCCAGAGATATTGCGGGTTCAGTTCCAGACCACCACAATAAAGTGAATATTGCAATAAAGTGAGTCACACGAATTTTTTGGTTTCCCGGTGCATATAAAAGTTATGTTTACACTATACTATAGTCTATTAACTCTGCAATAGTATTATGTCTTAAAAAATCAATGTACATACCTTAATTAAAAATACTTTATTGCTAAAAAATGCTAACCATCATCTGAGCCTTCAGGGAGTCGATCTTTTTGCTGGTGGAGGGTTTGAAATATTGCGAGAATTACTGAAATGTGACACAGAGACACGAAGCGAGCAAATGCTGTTGGAAAAGTGGAGCCAATAGACTTGTCTGACGCAGGATTGCCATAGGTTTTCAGTTTGTAAAAAAACGCAGTAAAGCGAAGCACAATAAAATGAGGCATGCCTGCAAAAACGTCTGAGTTATTGACTGTGTGAATTTGGATACGTTATTTCACTTTCCTGAGCCTCACTTTCCTCATCTGTAAGATAAGGTTGATAGTCCTACCTAATAAAGTTGTTTTGAGAATTAAGAGTTTAATACATGCAAAGTGCTTAGGAAGAGTGCCTAGCATACAGCACGTGCTCAATTATATTGGGTTGGCCAAAAAGTTCGTTTGGGTTTTCCGTACGGTGTTACAGAAAATCCTGAACGAACTTTTTGGCCAACCCAATATTTAGCTGTTGATGTTATCACCATCTTCCCAAGGGTAGGGACCATGCCTCCTCCCCCAACACAGCCCAGTACTGCCTGGACAGCCAGAGGGGCTCAGGACAGACCTGCTGAGCTGGTGAATGGTTGCCCCGTGCGCCATGCCCCCCTCCAAGCCCTGCAGGCCCTTGAGTTGGGCCATCCCTCACCTGCAGGTCGTGGGTCACCTCTACCACACCCTTGGGCAGGGAGATGGCAACAGCCTTCTTCTGAATCTTCCCCATCCAGGTCTTCAGCTGCTCTTCGGTCAGCAGCTTCTCAAGGCGCTCAAGGGGCTCCACGTGGTGGGGCATGATGATGATGAGGCTGGAGAGCTTGTGCGCCAGGGGCATCTCCACAATTTGCAGCTTCTCCTTCTCGTCATCATAGTAGTTGTAGAGACCTGGGAGAAGAGCAGAAACGGCGCTGGGAACACTGTGGGGCGGGGGCGGGCCAGGCCCCAAGCACCCTCAAGCCCCCACTTGGCCCCCCCACCCCGCCCTGCAAGGCACCTACCTGTTCGGTGCATCATGGTGACGCCCACGGTATAGGAACGGGTCACCATGAAGCCTCGGTTGTCCACCATCTTGTGGTGGAATCTCTCATCCCAGTGTGCTGTAGTGGGAAGTAGAACACAAGATCAGAAATAGATGCCCCCATCTTGTCAAGACACTCCCCTCAACTGCATACCCTGGATTTCTCCCTGCTCAAGGCCTTTGTTAAAGTCTTCTGGGCTCAACTGCGGCCCACCTCCCCCCGAACACCCAGCCCACAGAGTACATGTTCCCTGGGGGTGTGGGTCTTGGCCCCAGGACATGCTGCCTGAAGATACGGTTCTCTACATTTAGGGCCTACCCGTTTCCACATGACAGGGGGTGCCTTCAGAAGGAGGACCCTCAGCTTAGCTACCACCATGTCCACCTCCGCCCTGACAGCTGTCAGGCATTTGCGCAACATGCGCTCAGCTAGACTTCCCACCCCACCTGCTAACTGAGGTCTGTGCCCCGGGCAGGGGATGCCCCAAGACCACCCTTCATTCTTGTCTGCAAGTCCTGTCTCTGTGCCCCCCAAAATGACCCAAAAAACCATGAATACGTGACAGTGGCATGAGCCCTGCCCTATGTCACATACAGACGTGTATTCAAATTCAGTCTCAGTCACCAACTGGCTGCAAGACCTTTCACCCCTATCTTGGTCCCTTCATTTGTAAAAGAGGGGTCACCTCATCCTCACAGCATGCCGTGAGAGGGACAGTGCTATCCATATAGGTACTCAAAAATACACATTAAGCCCAAATCGAATCTTCAATTCAAGATGCACCTGGACCTGAGTCCGGGCTCTCTCCTCCTAGCTGAGCCTCAGTTTCCTTACCTGTGAAATGTAGGTAACACCACCTGCCCCCAAAGTTGCTTTGAGGGTTAGTAATGGTCACAGATGTGGAGCCTTTCTCCAGCTCATTACTGAGATAGAACTGATTACTAAATTTGATTCCAAGACAAGCAACAACACTCTGATGTGATGAAACACGGCAGGAGCACATCTTATGGAGTCCTTCAGTGGGGCTTGCATCTCTGTCCCGTTCCTTTAGACACAACACTACACCTCTCTGAATCTAGTGTCTCGTATGTAACAAGAGTTCAGTAACAGTGCCTCCCTCTGGGTCCACAGGTTGTTAATGAGGACTGAAGGAGCCCCAGCTGTGGTGCTCGGCACGGGAACACTGACCTGATTTGCCAGGGGCGGGGCTCCGGGGAGAGGAGGCCCCGCCCCACCGCGCCCTGCCCCGCCCCTCCGGACTCACGCTTGAAGAACATAGCATTGACCAGCAGCGCGCCGTCGGTGCGCTCCACGTCCTTGGTGACCTCGGGCAGCTTGCCGTCGGTGGTCTGCGCCGCCCACTCGTTGATGGACTGCAGGGCGCTGCGCTTGTCGCGGAAGTTGATCTTGGAGTGCTCGCAATTGTAGTGCTGCTTGCTGCTGCGCACGAAGTCCTCTGCGAAGCTCACCGAGCTGGGCCCATACAGGCGGCTGCCCAGCTTCCACGTCACGTTGCGCGCCGTGCTGTTGCTGAGCGAGCGCAGCAGCTCGCCCAGGCCCGCGTGCACCTCCTCGTCGCGCAGCTGCTCGGCGCTCAGCACCGCCTTGGCCTGTGACGCCGTGGCCGCCTTGCCGCCCAGCGACACTAGCCCCAGGGACGAGGCCACCACCACAGGCGACAGCAGGATGTTCTCCACCGCCTGGTCCTTGGCCATGGCCTGGTACAGGCTGAAGGCCAGGCCGGCGCTGCGCTCAGCAAACGTGGTCGCCTTGGGGCTCAGCTTCTCAGCCGGTCCGGGAGCTGCTGTAGCCGCGGGTTTCTTCACCTCGGCGGCCAGGGCCCTGGCCAGTAGGCAGAAGGTGCTGACGAGCAGAAGGGCACGCATGGCTGGGAGGCGGGGTGTGAGCACCACGGAGGACCTGTGAGGGTGGCAGAGAGAGGGTGGCCCTGAAGCCCTAGTCGTTCCTCGCCAACAACCATCCCTAGCCTCTGGCTGTCACCAAGTCCCCTGGAGATGGGAGCAAGACGGCCCAGAGCTCTAGGGAGCCCGGACCTAACTCCGGGTTGCCCAGATTGGGGGTCTCCGTCTGCCCACTCTCTCAGAGGCCTTCTTTGACTCCCTAGCCAAAGCAGGCAAATCCCCACCTCAGCTCTATTGCTTTATTGCACTGAACTTAACATTTAGACTTATGTTTGTTATGTACTGTTTCCATCCCTAATTAGTCTATGACCTCCAGGAGGGTAGGAAACCTAGCTAGTCTGGCTTCTGTCTATATCCCCAGTGCCTGGCACACAAGAGGCCTCAGCTGTTCCTTAATGAACAAAAACCAGGGCCACTTGCCCAAACCTGGGGCCTTTAGTTATTAGCTCTGATCTCATACGACCCTGGGGCCCTTTTCCAGTGGGAAAAAAAAAAAGTGGTAGATGGGCTCAGGGTCTGCATGAAACTCAGGGGCCTGGACAAAGGATGTCATGTGGGGTGGAGGTACAGGCCTGCTCCTCCCCGAATGCCTTTCCTCCTGCCCTGGGATGTTAATGAGTCGCCAGTTGGTTCACTTATTAAATGAGAGAGTCCAGATGCTCTGCTCTGCTGCCCCAAGGGTGACCTTGAGTTCGCCTGTGTGCATGTGTGTGTGCTCCCCTCTCTGAGCCTCAGGCGCCATTTTCCAAGTTGTATGGGTCTAGGTCTCCAGGCCCAGGCTTCTGTCTCGGCAGGGACTTGCCTGCCCGTCTGCCCACAGCCCCTGGAGCGGATGTGAAATCCCCAGGACAAAAGCGGGGGGAGCCGGCGGGTGTGTGGGGGGGAAGGTTTCCTGAGAGGAAGGATACTAAGGGAGAGGGTAAGTCACAGCTCAAAGGAACAATGACACCAACACCCCTTCACCAGAGGCTGGTGGCCAGATGTGTGTTCATTCTCCCAGGAAGCTGGGCCACCTCAGATTCCATTCTTCCCTCCCATCTGACAGTCATCACCACACGTGCCTATCTACTCTGTGGCTTCAAGATTGCCCTCAGGTCCCCTCCTCAAACCACAGCAGTAGCAGTGGCCCCTAGGACAAGCCCCTCTCCCCTCTCTGGGGCCTCCCATCAGGACAGTCTCTCCACATGGACTTATTTCCACACTCCTCCAATCTGAGGTCATTTCCGCTTCTCCAGGCAGCACAAGGGAAGAGGAGGTGACATGGCAAAGGGAAGGTTTGGAAGGAGCCGCGGTGATCCCATGGCTCTGGCAGATTCCATCTCATGGTCCTCAAGAAGACGGAAAACTCAGAATCCTGGTGGACGACCCTCAGGCCTTGAACCTGCCTGGGGAGCACTGGCTTTCTGCGAAGACTCTACTGCTGCAGCCATCCTGTGAACCAAGCCAAGGCCCCCCTCCCTGGGCTGCCACCTCCTTGGAGGTGCGGTGCAGAGGAGAAGCAAAAGGTACATGGGGAGAGGTGGTGGGAGGAGGGAAGGCCACTGAGCCCCACAGCTGCCTGGGGGGAGGTATCAAAGAGATCTGTAGCCTAGAGTATGGATTGCAGAGGTAAGACAGAATTTCACCCTAAAGAACGGATTGGGAAGGGAATATCTCAGGGCCCAGCCTGCCTTCCTCCCAGCCCTAGCTACTTCCCCACCAGGCCTGGAGCCTCAAAGGCAGAGCGGCCATATAATTATTGTACAAAAAAAGACACTTAGGAGTGTAAAATGGGACACTACTAATTATTAGGCCAGGACAACAGGCATATATATGGTCATCCTATTCAAAGGCCGCCTTTAGTCCAGACAGCTGATGCCAGAGCTGGGACCTCTGCAGAGGCCACCAGCATCCCCTTGAGAGACAGTCTCGGAGTCTAGTTCACAGCCTTGCCACGTGGCAGGCACTGTCTTGACAGCCCCACCCCCAGCCAACCAGAACCTTAAAGGGCTGGGAGGGGCTTTTTAAGAAAGCTCCAAATGACTAGTTTGGGATTCCTCAGGCAGCCACACAGCTGCGCTCCTGCGCTGGGTGACGTGGCAGGCTGGAAACTGAATTATCTGCACCCGCCTGCAGAGGGGGGCTTCCTATTCGGGAAGCGGGAGGCCTGGGTTCAGGTCCCAGGGGGTGCCACAGAGCCTCCCTGGCCCTAGCTTCCAGCCCGCAACGTCACTCTCTGCAGGGAGATGTGCAGCTATGGAGAAGGGCTGCCCTGTTAACCCAGCAGTAGGAATGGAGGAAGGCAAGTCACTGCAAGCAAGCCAGCCTCCCACAGCCCAGCCCCAGTTGCTACAGAGAAATCCTAGCCCTTAGGCTAAGGTTAGAAGATTTATACTCCCATAAAGAAAAATACACGAGCCCAGAACCAAGGGCTGTGCCCACAGCTAGCCAGGCCAAGTTGAGACTGGGTTCCAGATTTTTGTAAGTAGAGGGGAGGGAAGCAGATGCTGGGGGGGGACCACCAGAAGGGCTCTCGAACACTTGAGGAGGGCTAAAGTACCTTGAAACTGCCTCAGGGGGAGGTCAATGCCTGCCTTTTTCATTCTGAAAGAAAACAGAAGAGTGAGGAGGATGGGATAGGGCAGAGCTGGCGTGGTGGTAAGGAGGGGACCTGGTAGGCCCAGCCCCCATATGGAACCCTGTCTGCACTGCCCCTGGCAGAAGGAAGACGTAACCAGTCCCAGATCTACAATGACCTTGGAGGTCATTCACTTCACCAAACAGTGGGAGAAACTGAGGCCAGAGAGCGGGCAGGGAGCCACCTCCAGTCCACCAAGGATCAGTGGGGGTCAGGCTTCCTAGCACAGGGCTCCTTCCTCCCAGAAGCACCCACAGAGCCCCTCTGGAGGGCTGGATGTGGTGTCCTGTTACACAGCCCGTGAAAAAACATTTCTGCTGGGAATCCCGGTGACCAGAGACAAAAGGAGGGGACGCGGAGGCCTCAGGAAGGGGGGATGGGCAGATGAACTGCCAGAGGACAGTAGGGTGTGGTCCCAGCCAGAGACTTCCAGGGAACCAAAGCCCCCTGATTTTCCTTCGGCCTCCATCCGGGCCCTGCAGACCAGCGGGACCAGCCGGAAGCCCGGGAATAGGAGGGGCCAGGCCTTTCTGGTCACGCTGGAAGCGGTTTCATTCTTCTTCCACCACTCCAGCCGTCTCAGGAATGTCCCTAAGCTGGGGGCAGGGAACCCCGGCCTCTTAAGTAGCCGTAACCCTGCAGTTACTCCAGGAACCAGGTGGCGATGGACAGAATTAGAGTGGGTGACTCAAAGCCTTCTAGGGAGCGCCCCCTGGTCCCTTCTGTGGGAGGACGCACCCCTTTTTGGAGGGAAGTGGGGGAGACTGGTGCTGGCTGCCGATCAGAAATGGAGCCGCGGTGGGGGACTCCTCCCAAACCATGGGGACCCCAAGAGCCCAGTAAAAGTCAAGGCTATTTCACCTCCTTTTCCTACCACCCTACCTCAGGAGGCTCAGATGCCCCCCCAGCAAGCCTGTGAGGAGGGTGGCCCACTGGCCTTTGGGCCTCAACCCCACAACTGGAGGCACCCCGACATGCAAAGCCAGCCTGGCCTCCCTGTCCCTGCTGGAAGGCATTCCAGACCCCATCTTCTCCCTCCTTGATCCTGCAGAGGGACGAGCCTCAGCATCCCGGCTCCCAGCCCCACTGTTTCCTCTCTGCCACCAGCACCCCTGCCCCACACTTCTGCGGAACCCTGCACTTTTTCCGGGCCCTCTGAGGGCCCCGACTCCCCACCCCGGCTCTGATCTCCGCTCTGGCCCTCGGGCTCGCTCCGCCATCACCCCGCAGCCCCGGGTTCTCCATGCCGAACCCTCCAGCTGTCCCCAAAGTGCCAGGGCCTCCAGTTTGCGGGCTCTGGAGTGGCCCCTAACCCTCCCGCGGGCCGCTCTCCCCTCTCGTTTTCTTGAGCACCCCCGAAGCTCCCGCCGCTCTCCCCGGCCGCCCCCGCCCCTCACCTGGCCGGGCTGTGCTGGCGCCGGGACCGCAGTCACAGTGCCGCACTCGAGCCGCGAACGGATTCCACTCTCCGCCGCGCCCCCGCTCTCCAGATCTATATATGGCGTTCCCCCACCCCACCTCCCTCCCGTCCCGAGAAACTTCTGGAAAGTTAGAAAAGCTTCCGGAGGGCGCCCCGGCTCCGCCAAAAAAAGCCAAAGACCTCCCCCAAACCGCCCCGGCTCCCGCCTCTCCCTCTGCGGGCAGTCACCCGGCCCCTGGGTCCTACTGCCCCCCTCATCGGACGGGGTCGCGGCACCCGGGGAGCCCCTGCCTTGAGGCTGGGCGCCCGGGGCCCCGCACGACTGCAGAGCGAGCAGGCATCCTTTGATTCAGCTGAGACTCTGCACCCTAGTGGGAGCTCGGAACACTTAGCTGGAGGGGACATGGGTCTCCAGGGTCCAACTCCCCGGAGAGGAGCCCCCTAACACCCCAAGGCTCTTTGCACAAGCCAGCTACCCCTGATTGCACATTCCTTCCAGCACCCCTTTCCCTGCAGCAGCTCTGCCTCCAAGTGGATCCATTCCTTCATTTTTGAGCTGAAACTTAATTGGGTTCCCCTACACACTCCCTCCTCAGTCAGGGCCCCTCTCCTTCCTCTCAGGGGAGGTGGTCAGAGGTTGGGAGGCAGCACCCTTCTCCATGTGCAGTTTATCCTGAACACCTTGGAGCTCAACCTCAGTGGCCAACCCAACAGGAAGAGTGGTCGGGCCAGTCCCAGTACCTGACCCTCACCTAGGAAAGTATTGGAGACACCTGGGAAACACCACATGGTCTGCCTGGGCCTGGAGGGGTGCACAGGAAGAAAACCCTGGCTGTCCACTAAGTAATATGCTGTGTGCCCCTAAAGAAGTTACTTTCCTTTCTGGGCCTCAGTTCCTTTGTGAAATGTCATTCCTTGCTCCTTTCCTTGTCTGTCTCTGTCTGTCTCTGTGTCTCTGTCCTTGGTCGTCCCTGCCCCCTCCCTGTCTGGGTCCTCTCCCGCAGGTCTCACTATCAACTCCTCTTGCCCCACCCTTCCCCAGTTGATAGCCTCTTGAGCTCTGAGCTAAGCTGGGGTATTCATTTCCGTTCCAGGCGCAGAAGACACAACCAAGAACAGGACAAAGTCCCTGCCCTTAGGATGAACACTCTGAGGGGGGTATGCACATCTTAGTAGGGAACTTGAGAAGGTAGAGGATGATTTAGGACATCCCCCTCCCTCCCCCAAATCTTTAATAGGGAAATCATAGATAACCCATGGACCCCAGTATGGAGAGGAAGGGACAGACGCTTCACTCACGCACTCATTCATTCAATCAACAAACTGTGCTGAATATCTTCTTGCTTCCAGGTGCATCTCTGGATCTTGGGGAGCAAAGGAAGCCCAGCACCCAAAAGATGAATCATCCAGGTCCCTGGCAGCAGAGGTGAGGGGAGGGCACTTTCTGGCTACCCCAGTGGTGGGAGTGACTAACTTCTCAGGCTGGCTTAGGTTCAAAGTCTGATTACAAGGATTGTGGGAAACCTTAGATCCCAAGAGCTTCAGATTCTTCGAATCAGGGTCAAAGAATCAGAGATCACTTGAAGCTTAAGGTAGTCATCACAGAATATGATATCCCCATGAAATCTTTGAATTCATACAAGGAATCTTAGAATGTTTACTCTCAGAGTCCAAGAATCTTAGAATAAAAGTATTGAGGACTCTGGGCTGCAAGGCATCTCAGAGGTCATGGATTCCTGTCTGTAGCCCCTAGCGGAAGTCCTCTCTGCAGTACCCCAAAAAGGCAAGCACCCAGGTTCCTCCAAGAACAGGGAGCTCACCTCCCTCGGAGGCAGACCAGTATCCTTTTCTTAGGACAGGTCTGATTGTTGACAAAATCTCTTAGCCTCAGGGCAGTGTCCATCTCTTTGGTGCAGCTGTCCTGGTTTTCATGTACTTCCCTCTGCCTCATCTGTGTATTGTTTTTAAGAATAAGTCCTTGCTATTCAAGGAAACTGAGAAAATCGCCTGGGTTCCAGGCCCAACTCCACCCTCCACCCCACCCCCAGCTTGGCCCTCAGGTGGTAATTGGCCAGTCAGCTAAGGGTCCATCAAAGCTGGTGTAATGAAAGAGAGGTTTGCCTTGATTTTCAGCAGGTCCAGATGTCAGAATCCCGCAGAGATTTCCTTTCCTCCACACCCTTTCATCTCTTAGCTCTCTGAAGCTTCACCAGAAGTTTAGGGGAAAGCTGAGTGCTAAGACCCTCAGTGACGGCCCTGAGGGGGAAGGGTAAACTGAGGCTCGCTCTGTTAGATAAACCCAGAATCCTAGAAGGTCAGAGTAGAAAGGACCAATGCCCACCATATACCGATAGGGTAGCTGAGGCCTAGGGAGGGGGCTGGGTCTGGAGACGCTCTACCAGACTCACTAGACCGATACTGTAGCTCAGACTGGGTCAGAAGCCTCCTCTATGGCATTGTGCTGCGTTATCTCCGTGTCATCACCCTGTATGGTCACTGAATGTCATTGGAGATTTTGGATGGGCAGAGATTTCTTCTCACTCTGAGTCCCCAGTACCCAGCACATGGCGTGCCCAGAAAAGGCATACGGTGAGCGTGGCCAGTGAGTGAGTGATGGGAAGTGTCTTCCTGAGTCTACTGGACTCCAAGCACAGCCTCCCTGCAACCTCCCTGAAGAAAGAAAGGCAACGGCTCCTTTAAATTTCCAAGATCAGCAAAAAAAAGTTTGGAGAGCCTTTGCCACATTATTCTTAGCTCTGAGCCCAGCCCAGGCCCTGCTGACTGCAGCCCTTCCCCCACACTCCCAGGCTGCATTTTTTGGAAAAAGCACTGTTTTTGGAGGGAGGAAAGAGTCTGAAATGCAGAGAAACTCTCCAGCATTTCAGGTCTGGGTTCCTCCAATGCCTCTGCTCCCAGCAGGAGCGGTTCCTGCCCACCCCCACCCCCGACAGAGGCTCAGCTGGAAATCCCATGTCCCAAGAGGTGTGGGCAGCAGGAAATAGAAAACCGTGGAATCCAACTGCATCACATCGTACAGAGAGGAAAACTGAGGCCCAGAGAGGGGCAGAAACTTGCCCAAGGTCACACAGCAAGTCAGAGGTGGAGCTGGGCCAGAGCCCATGCCCTGGGCCCCAGCCCTCTTTCTCCCACACCATCTTCTAACTGGGCCTTCCAGGTACACAGGCCCAGTTCTGCCAGATATTGCAGAAACGGCTCTCTAGCCCCAGTGGCTAGATTGAGGCAGTCCTCACCCTACAGAATCCTAGGACAAAAACTAACATGTTAAGTGCCCAGCACGTTCATATTACCATATTTAATACTCTCAGGTTAAGTAAGAATGTCTCCATTTTAAACACAAGGAAACTGAGGTTCAGGGAGGCTAAGTTCAAGACTTTACAGCAAATTGCAGTCAGAACTGGGATTTGAACTGTTTGTCTGTGGAAGATGGAGAGTTGGGACAGGGAGATGACAAGGAAGTGACATTCATGGGGCCCTTTGCTGTGGCCAGGTACCCTAAACAATATCTCACTTTTAATTATTGGACGTTAATTGGAAGGAAGCGTCATCCCTTTCTTCTTTTTTTTTTTTTTTTTTTTTTTTGCGGTACGCGGACCTCTCACTGTTGTGGCCTCTCCCATTGCGGAGCAGAGGCTCAGCGGCCACGGCCCACGGGCCCAGCCGCCCCCACGGCACGTGGGATCCTCCCAGACTGGGGCACGAACCCGCATCCCCTGCACCGGCAGGCGGACTCCCAACCACTGCACCACCAGGGAAGCCCCCCTTTCTTCTTTTAACAGAGGATAAAACTGTGGCCAAGAAAGGCTTGGATAGCCAGCCCATGGTGGGCCTTCTCCCTGGGAAACCAGGGCTGCCACTGGCAGTTTTTCTCTGAGATGCTGTCCAGGAGCCAAGAATGTGCTTGCAGCCCCAAGCATGAGTCAGGGAAATGCAACTTCTGCAATCGCTGATTCTCTCTCGTGGAGTTTGGGGCCTTCTGACCCAAAGGGCTGTCCTGTGAGCTGCCACGTTGGAGGGTGGGAGGCTGGTGAGGGGTGGGCAGACGCATGACTCCTCCCTTCCCCTCCCAGAGCAAGCCCCACCTTCCTACCATCCTCCTGGTGCTGAGGCAACTCCAGGGCCTTCACCCACACGCCTGACACCCTGACAGGACACCCCAGAGACACACGTCCACTGACACATGACACTGCAGACACACGTGTCCACCCACCCACTGCGGCCGCTTCATGCAATCCACATATACACATGTCTGCATAACTCTCTAGCAATACAAATGCACCACATGTGGCACACATGCCTACTAGGTACCTGTACACAGGCTCAGGCTCAAGGGGAGGCGGGGAGGACAGCCCGCAGTCGGGATTCCACTCTCTTCACCCCTTATTAGCTGTGAAGCCTTGGGGAAGTCACCTCCCCTCTCTGGCCTTCAGTTTCCAGTTGTAAAATGAGAGGGTGTGACTCCTCCTTGCCACCCGCCTCCCTGCCAGTTGACATTCTCCCCTGCCTTCACCCACAAAACCTGCAGACATTTCTTGAGCATCTACCATGTGTGGGGAATGAGCCAGGTGCAGAACACAGGGACAGGGCTCCTGACCCCAGCCCAGGGCTCAGTCCATTGCACCAGCTCCAAACCCTTCTGTGGCTCCCAACAGCCCCTCAGGAAAGTCCAAGCCCCTTGGTGGCCCTTTGCAGCAAGCCAGTTTGCAAGTGCAGGTCCTCAGTGCTCCTGGGCAGAGACTCTCTGCCTTCTTAGGGCCAGAGCAAGGGAGGATGCTCTCAAGAAAGCTCAGCTTTGGGACTGGGAGCTCCCTTCCTTCTGCCAGTTTCCCTCTCCCAGGCCTCCTTTGGCAACTTATGGAAATAGCTCCAGCTGCCTGGAGAGCCCCTGGGGTGGTCAGATGGCTTTTAAGTACCACTTGCCTTTTCCCTTCCCCTGTTGCCTCTCTACCCACCCCCTTACCCAGCACCCAGCTCTTCTTTTCTCCCCCAGGGGACGCTGACAGCTGTAATAATAGTGATGGCCAGGTTAGCCGCAGGGCTGCCCTCCTTATCTTAGGGTCTCTGACACTCAGAAAAGGGCCCCTGAGCTCTGACCGCCCCACTCCCAGCCCTAATCCGCTTCAGCCCAGTGCAGCCACCCCAGTGTTATGGGATACAGTAAGCCCTGGCATGGGGATCAGGAGACCTGGGATCCTGGCCCAGCTCTGCTGTGTTTTAGCTGGTCTAGCTCCCCACCTCTGTCAAATAGGAATGATGATCTAGAGGATGATGAGAAGCACAGATGAAACAATGGATTGGAGAGCACTTTGAGAACTCTGCATGCACACTGCTCACCTCTTCATCACCTGGTCAAATCCTTCCTAACTTTAAGACGCCACTTCTGACCATTCCTGCTCTGTCCTCTGATCACCATCCTGTCAGTTCCACTCACACCTGGCCTTGCACATACACATGAGGGTAGCAAAGGGCTGGAGTGGGGCCCTTCAGAAGAGGCACAGGCCAAGGGTGGCATCCTGGCAAAGCGAAGAGAATCCAGCCCAGGAGTCAAGAAGGCTGGGTGCCACCATTCAGCGAGTGACCTTGGAAAGTCACTGCACCTCTCTGGGCCTCCGTTTCCTCATCTGTAACGTGGAGAAATGAGGAGGATCTGGAAGGATCTGAGGGATTTCATTTTAAATGGGAAAGTTTAGTTTCGTCCCCACTGTTGGCAAGAGAAGAAATGGACACAGCCTTTCTAGAAGGCAGTTCGCACTGGGAGCTTTAAAGATTGTACTGAATATTTCTCTGCAACATTGTTTGTAATTGCAAAACTTGTAAACAACCTAACTGTCCATCAGTAGGGGAGGTGGGAATACCAGGAAGTTGGGAAAAGCAAAAAGCAAGGAAGTTCTTTATGTCTTGATATTGATTCGATCTTAGAGCTGAAGTGAAGGAGGGTGTTACTTAGATCTGCACAGACTGTCCCAGCAGGTGGGTAGAAACTGGTAACATTCCTTGCTGGCAGGGGAAGGACTGGATGTGAGAGGGAGAGGGGGAGGAGTGAGACTTATCTTTCATCCCCTATGAATTTGGAGGCTATATGAATGCATTGCCTATTCACACATTTTTAAATTTTTAAGTTATTTGTTCTTTTAAAAAAATTTTTTTAATGGTTCTGAAGAAACTAGGGGCAGGACAGGAATAAAGACGCAGACATAGAGAATGGACTTGAGGACACGGGGAGGGGGAAGGGTAAGCTGGCATGAAGTGAGAGAGTGACATGGACTTATATATATTACCAAATGTAAAATAGATAGCTGGTGGGAAGCAGCCCCATAGCACAGGGAGATCAGCTCGGTGCTTTGTGACCACCTAGAGGGGTGGGAGACGGAGGGTGGGAGGGAGACGCAAGAGGGAGGGGATATGGGG